CATCGTAAAAAGCTACAAGTTTCACTTTTTCCTCTACTTCCTGGCTGACATGCTTGGCGTACTGAACAGCCTCAACAAAAAGTTCCAAGCCCGCCAGGTTGGTTCCTTGCATGGTCCTATTATGTTTGTCTAATCGTGTGTCTCCCTGAGCTATCTGCCCAAGCCCTCTCCTACCACAGGTTGAGTTGACGGTCGTCCAGGGCCATATTCGGAGGACCGTCGTCTACATCTAGCAGCGGTACGTCGAGTGCGGCAGCAACTTTGGGGGCGGCAACTCTCCGCTCCTCACTGCATTCATCGTAGCGCACCGCAGCAGCCGCACCGTCACCATTGAGGGATGCAAGTCCGACGGCACATCAATCGTGCACAAGTTTGACATGCACGACGAGCGCCCTCGTGAGGACCACGACGAGTGCAACAGCATCTGCATGAGATTCGCCAAGGCGACCGAGCAGAACATCGTTGAGCGGCTGGGCGACCTGAAGAAGCTCAACTGGTGCAGGCTCTTTACCCCGGAAGCATGGCCGCCAGGGAGGAAGGAGTGGAACAGCCAGTGCATGGACTGGCTGCAGAGCATGTTCGACCTCTTCCGCGCATCCGGGCGTCGGGAGGTTCTGCCAGGTAAGCTGTTGCTAAACGTGCATGAACCCAGCCGTAACCATGCATCTTGCCTGCGTGTCATTTTTATCCCCATACAAACGGCCTACATCTATACCACTCATTCTCCTTCCCTTGCGCCCTCCGATTCTGTGCAGGTGTTAACAAGAGGGCGGCAACCAGGGAGCTGCAGACTCTGATCTCCCTGCTAAAAGACACTCCCGTGGGGGAGCGGAAGTTCTACAAGGGGCTGGCAGCGATGCTGAAGTCGGATGACTGGACAAAGGCCTTCCCGAACCTGGGCCGACTGTGGGTCGCGGTCGCAGTGTTGCCACTGTCTACGGTGGAGTGTGAGCGTGGCTTCAGTCGGCAAAACATCGTCAAGAGCTGGTGCCGAGGCAGCATAGGAAACGCCACGCTCGAAAACCTCATGAGCATGGCGTTGCTCGACTACGAGCCTGATTAGGAGGAGGTGGTGAAGGTGTTTCGAGGGAAGAAGCGGAAGCAGTTCTCCACCCGCATCCACCCCCGAGGTCGGGTGAAGAGTTTGAAGGGGAAACAAAAGGTGGTGGAGGGGCCAGGGGAGGAGTTGGAGGAGGAGCCAGAGGAGGAGGTGGAAGAGGAGCTGGAGGAGGGGTACGAGGAGGGGAGAGAAGGGGGGGTTGGTGGAGGAGAGGTCGATGAGGATTTCTGGTATGCAACTGAAGGTGAGGAGTGCAGCAGCGGCGGAAGTGAGTCAGACGAAGACGAGGAGTAGCAAGTGAACCACCACCAGCAGCAGCGGCAGCAGCAGCGTCAGTTGCAACACCAACACTGGCAGCAGCAGCGGCAGCACATGGAGTAGTTGGGTGCAGCAGGAAGAGCAGTAAGAGTTCTAGCAGCAAGAGTGGCAGCATCAGTAGTATCATGCAGCAGTAAGTCAACACCAAAGGCAGCAGCAGTAGCAGCACCATAGGCTGTGCTTCTCTGAAATTGTTATACAACCAAGTGTATACCATGAAAACATTCAAACAAACAAGTCAAGGTTCAGTCTAACACATTGTGCTAGGTCAAAATCAAACCCAGAAAAAAAAAAATGCAGAAGTTCAACACTAACATGTCAGGCCTATAAATTTTCAGTCCTGAAAAATGGGGGTTCCTGCTAGGGGCACCCTGAGCCAACAGCCCCTCAAAATCCAATCGCGGATTTTCCTTGCGAAGTGCTGTTCGCCTGTTGGCACAACATAAGAGTGAGATCTCGCTGCACCCAGCATAACATTCCCTATTCGATGGAATATCTCTTCTGTAAAATTAAATACAGCTTAAATGAACAAACCATGCATTCTGTTGGGCTGAAAAAACCCTTGGGATCTTTTCAGAGACTAAGTCCCACTTGTACAAGATGCTTGAGTAGTGCAGCGGAAGTGTTGAGTAGTTGAAACCTTGCACTAGTATGTGAGAGCAAGTGATTGATAAAAAAATACAAGCATACAGCAATATATAGAAAATAGGAAATAAAGCAGTTGTAGAAATAAAGCAGTTGTCGGTTCGGTTACCACCCTTGCAGTCGCAATGGTCAATCGCAACCTCCGGTTGCGAACCTTCAAGTCCCTTCGTCCTTTCGTATTCTTTCGTCCAACCTCCTCGTGTAACCTCCGTTGACTCGCGTACTCGATACGACTTTCCACGAGTGTTGTGTTACACTTCAGAAACGCTGAAGTCTTCGAGGTATTTCCAACACTCCCCTTCGTTTCTGGAGTGCTGACGTGTCCGGACTCGGTGACATTTATCTGCCCGGTCAGCAGCATGCAGTAATCGAACTTTGCCTTTGCCAGTTTCTTCGTCAGGTAATCTGCAGCCATTTTTGTCGTGGGGCAGTAACTGAGTTGAAGTCTCCCCTTCGTGATCTCATCCTTGACGAAGAAATACCGCAGAGCGATGTGCTTGGTTTGATTGGCGAACCCGTTTTTGTTCGCGATTTTGATCGCGGATTGGTTGTCGCAAAATAGCAAGAAGACGGGCATGGTCGCGATTTTCGCTTCCTCGAGTAGCTCCCGAAGGTAAAGTCCTTCTTTGGTCGCAGAGCACAGAGCGATGTATTCCGCTTCAGCCGAGGATAACGCGATTAGTTCCTGCTTGCTCGATTGCCAGGAGATAGTCCCGATAGGCTCTAGTCGGTAGATGTAGCCCGTTCTGGAGCGACGATTCTCCCTATCTCCCGCGTGATCAGCGTCGACGTAGCCGAGTAGCTGTACGGACGAGGGCGTTACTTTGCAGTAGGTAAGTCCGGTCGTCGGCGTAGAGATGAAGTAGAGCAGTGCCTGATTTAGTTCCTCGAGATCCTCTTGCTCCGGCTGCTTCATGTGTGTCGCCAGTTAGCTCGCGCTGTAGGACAGATCCGGTCGGCAGGTTACTGCTGCGAGCAGTAGACAGCCGAGATTCTGTTGATATTCCTAGATTTGCTTCGCGGGGAGCTTCGCAGAGGTTTCACTATTTTTCCCGTAGCTATAGGGAGGCGCGACTGTGACTGGCATTAGGTCGAATTTCTTGGCGACAACGCCTGCGTATTTTCCGGCGTGTGGGTAGAACGCCGAGTTGTCTTCGACGATGTTTAGACCTATGTACTGGCTCACGGTGTCTGACACCGTGAGTGTTAAGTCACTCCTCAGCTCCCCTTCAAACCAGGTGGCGACGTCGGTAGTGGAGCCAACGTAGAGTAGGTCATCGACGTAGACGATGAGTAGGACGAAGTCCCCCCCCTTCTGTAGTCGGTACATGCCTTGATCGTGCGGCAGCTGCAGAAAACCGATCCTGACAAGGCGGTCGTGAAGGTGCTGCTGCCAGAGCCACGGGGCTTGTTTAATTCCGTAGAGGGATTTTACCAGTTGGCATGGTTTTGTGGGATCGTTGATGAATCCGTGGGGCTGCTCGACGAAGATCTCGGCGTCCACAGGTGCGTACAGGAAGGGATTGGCGACATCGATCTGGCGTAGTGGTAGCTTTTTCGTGGCCGCGACGGCGAGCAGAATACGCAGGAAGTGTGTCGGGAGACTGGGGCGAATGTCTCCATGTAGTCGGTTCCGTATCGCTGGTCGAAATCCACGTACAACCCAGCGAGCCTTGATGCGGTCGATGGAACCATCCGCATTAGTCTTGATGCGATACACTCATTTCCCCGAGAGCACATTCTTCCCGTTGGTTTTTGTTGCAGGTACCAGTTTCGTTGATGGCGGCGGCGGGCTCTGGACGGCGACCCATAGTCCAAGTATCTGCAGGCCTGTGGGTGTGTGTCGAGGGGAATTGTCATTCTCGAGATAAGCTGCTTTGTCTCCGTCCTCGGGGTCAGGTAAGAAATTGGGTCCGATGCGTTCGGAGATATTTGTGTCGACCGGTTGAGGTGTAGTGTAACCTTGGTCAGCAAAGTGGTAATAAGTGTCGAGGTTGTTACTATCGAGAGTATTGTCGTCGTCGAGTGGAACTGGCACGGAGCAGTAAGGGAGTGGTCCGGCACCTTCCGAGGCTTCAGGTACGTCTTCTTCTGCTGCGTCAGCTTCAGCAGCACGGTCGGCGAAGGGCCGATGGCCCTCGAAGCCGTCGGTGGGGTCTTCTATGTTGGCGATGTTGTCCAGGTAATGTTGCAGTGTCAGTCGCTCGTAGAAAATCACATCACGTGAGGCCACGGTGCTTTTGTCCTGAATGTCGAGAAGTTTCCATGCCTGGAAATGTTTTGGGATGCCGAGGTGTAGTCCCCACCGTGCTCGTTGAAAGAATCGTCCTGCTCGGGCTGTGTGGGGTCTGTACTGTACCATGCAGCCGAATACTCGAAGTAATTTTGTGCTGCCCTGTTTTCCTGTCCACAGCAGGTGCGGTGATGCGTTGTTGGGAAGTGACGTCGAGGACAGCAAATTGTGCAGGTGGACTGCATGCGACATCGTGTCAGGTCAAAACGTATTGGGCAGTCTCATCCCCAGGAGCAGCTTCCGCATCATTGTCTGCAAGGTTCTGTTCATCCTCTCTGCGACCCCCTGCAGCTGGTGAGCCTAGGGTAGAGACTGATGGAAATCGTGCAAATCTGGAGAGAACTAATTAGAGATTAAGTCTGACGACCTCAACGAATCATTGCGTGCTGCTCAGGTAACTTCTAGAAATGAGCTTATACGCGTTGGAAAGGTCTTAATCTCTACTTTCCAGAATGGTAAAGCACGTTCATAACCAAGATCTGAGCCGCCGATTATGACGAAATCAGTGTGAGGGGGTATTCTGGTAATTTGGCTAGGCAGCCATGAATCACCTAGTAAAAACGAGAAGGGAAGCAGTTCGATCTGGAAAAGTTCCAGTATGTGATTGTCAAACACCACCAACCCTTGCCCTAGACCAAACCCCAACACTCTCAAGTGCCATGACTACAACATCAAAGATGTTGTAGTGGATTTGAGGTTGTATGGGTTGGAAAGGTAACGAGTTCAAACCTTGCAAACCAACCCAAGTCCTTTTGCCCAAAACCCAATAGCCCACAACCAGCTAGAGCAAACTACACCACAGAATACTACACATTTATCACTCCCCCTTGCTCGTGCTGGGTGTGGCTCAACACCATAGGGCAAAAGACTTCACACCACTCCCCCTTGCTCATGGGTTGGGGCCACCCAGAGCATGGAGTCCGCCAAGGAGAGGAGCACCAAGACGCCGGCATCTGCTGCGGGAACCCTGTCATCATGGGGCTGCATCCCGAGCAAGGTCATGCACACACCATGGCGCTCAAATGGAAGAGACTTGGTAAGAATATCAGCAGCCTGACGGTTGGTAGGGCACCACTGCAAAATCACCTCACCCGCAGCTACCATCTCCCGAATGAAATGCCACCGGACCTGCATGTGTTTGGTGCGGCCATGCAAGCATGCATTCTGTGCAAGGGCAATGGCAGACTGATTATCCACAAACACAGGCACACCACCAGCATGATCATGACCAAACTCCCCAAACAAACGCCTCAGCCAGACACCCTCCTGAATGCACTGACACAGACTTATATACTCACTCTCAGTGGTAGAGAGTGCTACCACGGGCTGCCTCTTGCTCTGCCAAGAGATAGCTGCCCCATTCAGACAGAACACATACCCACTGTGGCTCCTGCGACTTGCGGAATCTCCAGCATAGTCAGCATCACTGAAGCCAACTAGCTGGACCTGAGACTGGGGCTGTGTTTGGAAGAAGATACCTGACTTGACACCACCTTTCAGGTACCTCAGCACTCTCTTAGCGGCCTGCAAGTGAAACATTTTAGGACAAGAGGCGACCTTAGATAGCTGTGAGACTGCAAAGGCAATCTGTGGCTGTGTGGTAGTACAAGCATACATGAGGGATCCCACAATGCTTTGGTAGAGCTTGACCAGCTCATCTCGCAGCAAGGGTTCATCCTCATAGGCATGCACATCAAAGCCTGTTGGGAGAGGAGTACGCACGGGGTTGGCCTCTGAGAGACCAAAAGACTGAAGCATGTTAAGAATGTACCTCTCTTGATGAATCAAGATACCACTCTCATCACGTTCAATTTGCATTCCCAAGTAGTACTTCACCTCCCCCAAGTCCTTCATGCGAAAACGCGAGGACAAGAACTCTTTCACTCGATCTAGCAAAGCCTTGCTAGAGCATAGGAGCAAAAGGTCATCCACATAGAGGAATAAGGAGATCCGCTCCTCATCTCTCACAAAGTGGTACAAGGCAGGGTCACACTCAGATCTCTCAAACCCAAAATCCATGAGAGCCTCATCAAATTTTAGGTACCACTGTCGTGGGGCTTGCTTTAGCCCATAAATGGACTTTTTGAGGCGACACACTCGGTGAGACCCATCATCAAAACCAGGGGGCTGCCGCATGTAAAGCTCTTCCTCCAAATCCCCATGGAGGAAGGCTGTCTTGACATCCATATGATGGATATCAAGCCCCAAAGCAGCTGAAATTCCAAGCATACCTCTCAAGGTCGCATGCTTCCCAACTGGAGAGTACACTTCTTCATAGTGTACTCCCAATTTCTGCGTGTTTCCCATCACCACCAATCTGGACTTAGGCCTCTCAACAGTACCATCAGGGTTATGCTTGTATTTCCAAACCCATTGACACCTGAGGACCTCCAAACCAGGTGGTACCACTGCTGGATCAACCAGCTCAAATGATCCATTTACCTTGTGAGACTCAAGCTCCTCATGCATGGACTCAACCCATTCTGGACGGTTCAGCGCCTCGTGGACTGACCTAGGCTCATGCACCTGACCCATGAGACACACATCAAGAGCATACTCATGCCCATGCATGTCCACAAGCATGCAATCATCCAAATCAGACACAAGATGATCATGCATGCGTGCAATGTGCCCCGGGGTAAACCTCTGCACTGCGTCGCAGAGGTGTTGCCTCTCCTTCTTCCAGCCTCCGCAGCTTCTCCTCCCAAGTCACCCTCTTCATTGGAGTCCTCGGAGTCTTGGACAGCTGCTGGTCCAACAACTGCTGCCAACTGCTTCTCGATGGAGTTGAAGGCACATGCTGCTCCGGCTGATCATCACGCGCATCGGCCTGCGTGGCTGGCTGAGGGGTAGAATCTGTCTCTCGGGACTCCTCATGGTTAGGATCAGCTGGTTCTGGCTCCTCCTGCTGCTCCTCCCCTTCATCTCCAGGGTCCTCCCATGCCCCCTCAAAGATAGAAGCCGTATGAGGGTCTTGAATGGAAGTCCCACTTTGGCTTGTACCATGCTCCTTCCACCCCTTAAAATTCAGCCCCTCATGGAAAACCACATCACGGCTCTCCATCACACGCTGGTCAGCTACACTCCACAGCACCCAAGCCTTGCTCCTCTCAGAAACCCCAAGGAAGATCCCCCACTGTGCCTTAGGATCTAGCTTCCTTCTTTGCTGGTCAGGTACCTTATACTGTGCCATGCACCCCCACACTCGTGCCATGGAAACATTCGGCACCTTCCCTGTCCATAAGGAGTATGGGCTTTTGCCTCCAAGCCCCTTGCTGCCCATCCTGTTCTTCACCCAGTTGGCATACTGCACTGCTGCCCCCCACCAAGTGTTATCAAGCTCGGCATGGGAAAGGATGGCCCGAGCCAAATCGGTCAAGGTCCTGTTAAGCCGCTCCGCTGCCCCATTTTGCTGCGACGTGTAAGGTACAGAGAGCTGGTGGGAAATACCCTTTTCTTCCAAGAAGGTTTGAAGTTCTTTCCCAAGGTACTCTCCACCCCGATCTGACCTTAACACCTTTACCTTGGCCCCTGATTCCCTCTCCACATAGCGTATCCACCGCTTAAACACCTTTGCCACCTCATCCTTGGTCTTCACCAAGGTGACCCAGCTAAGTCGACTGAAGTCATCAAGAAAGGTGACAAAGTACCTGCTGCCCCTTTCCCGGTCAAGAGTTTGCATCGGTCCACACACATCCGTGTGCACCAGCTCAAGGGGAGTCGAGGCATGATCAGAGGAGATAGGGAATGAGGTTCTAGGCAGCTTTCCAGACGTGCAGTCGGGACATTTGCTCTGCTGCCCAGCTCCTTCCTTGACCTCCACCCCCTTCAGCTCCCCCTTCTTCACACACTCCAGCAGTTGCTGCTTCCCCGCGTGCCCCATGCGAAGGTGTAGCAACTCAGGTGACACCGTTTCCACCTGCCTCCAGCGAGTGCTACAAGCGGCTTCCTCAGAAAAAACCATGTGTGCCTTGTAACAATTAGGCACACAAGCTGGAACAAGGTATAAACCCTTGTCCAGCTTTGCCTCCATCACCACAGCTTCACCCTTTCTAACAGTACACCCTCCCTCCGTGAAAGTGCAGATGTATCCCTGTTTAGCCAGCTGCGAGCATGAAAAGAGGTTTGCAGCCAAACCAGGGACGTGAAGGACCCCCTTCACACCCACTAGCTCCCCCTCCTTCCCCTTAATGGTGATCGTGCCGATGCCAATTGCTTGCAGCAAATCTCCGCTCCCAACAATCACGTTCCTCGAATTTGGTGGGAGAGGATGGTAGGAGGTGAAGAGATCACAGCGAGGAAGCATCCCAGATGTTGCTCCAGAGTCTAGAACCAGGAAGTTGGGATCAGCCAATGCACGACCAGCGAGAGCTGCATCCTGCCCTAGCATGAGAAACGAGAAACCATCATCGGAGGAGTCGTCTTGGCCCTTCCCCTTCTCATCCTTAGCAGCTGCGGCCGTTGCTCCCTTGCTGCCCTTCTTATTCCAGAGCCCCTTCTTCATCCTTTTCTCCACCCAATCAGGTTTGGTCACTGGTGGGGCCTCTCCAGAGTAGCCGTGAGGCTTCCATCCCTCAGGCCTACTCCAGCAACTCTTCCAAGAGTGTTTTTTGTTGCATCCGGGCACAAGGCATTTGTCCAACTCTTTCTTCTTCCCCCCACCTCCTTGCTGTTGATAGCCTTTCCTGAAGGAAGCTTTATCTGCTGCACCCATGCCTCCTTCTAGGCCTCTTCCAGCATCAACCTTGCGAGCCTCATCAGAAATTAGAACCTCCCAAATCCACACCTTGGTCCATTTCTGTTGCTCGAGGTGAAGGTACTGTAGTAATGCCTCATTAGCCGCTTGATCCAACCCTTGGAGTGCAGTATAGATGATCTCCTTCTCATCTACCGTGTAATCCAGCTCCTCCAAAGCCCTCACATTCTCATCCACCCTCTGGAGATACTGAACCATGGTCTCCCCCTCCCCATAGTTCCGCTCCATGGTGTAAAACCGCTTCCGCCAAGTAAGCACGCTTAGAAGCCCTTTCTGCAAGTGCCTATCTTGCACTCTTTTCCAAGCTGCAGCTGCTGCACCTTCCTTCCCCTTCAGGTCAATCAGCATCTTAAGAAGCTCAAGTTGCCCCTCCAAAGCCCAACACAGGTACTGAAATGCCTGGCGATCCTTCCGATCCCATGCTTCTTGAGCTTTGAGCAACTCCTCGCGACTTGGTTGCGACCTTCCGGTTCGAGTTGCAGCGGTTCCTCCTTCATTCCCCCCACTCAACGATGCTCCCCCAGCCCCGGATCCCACTTGGCTGGTTGCTCCAGTAGACGCCTCCCCAGAGTCAGCTCGTGGTCGCTTCTCCGATCCATCCAACACACTTTCTAGGTCCTTAATACCTAGCCATAGTGTGAACTGGAACCTCCATAGCGAAAAGTCCGAGCCGGTAAACCTAGGAGGGCCATCCAACTTTTGGGCCATGTCAAACCCTAGATCTGGAGCACTTCAAGCCTCTCTAGATCTCTTCCAATGGAGGAAAGAACGTCCTCTAACCGTGGCTCTGATACCACTGATGGAAATCGTGCAAATCTGGAGAGAACTAATTAGAGATTAAGTCTGACGACCTCAACGAATCATTGCGTGCTGCTCAGGTAACTTCTAGAAATGAGCTTATACGCGTTGGAAAGGTCTTAATCTCTACTTTCCAGAATGGTAAAGCAACCTTTTGCCAACCAACCCAAGTCCTTTTGCCCAAAACCCAATAGCCCACAACCAGCTAGAGCAAACTACACCACAAAATACTACACATTTATCAGAGACACCAGGTGTCTGATGCCTCTTTCTGCCAAGTAGTTCCTGAATCGTTGTGACTGGTACTCCGGTGCCCCGTCTGCCTGGAAACTCTTGATTTGCGAGCCCGATTCTCGCTCAGCGATGGGGAGCCACGTCGTGAAGGCTTCGAATGCTTGATCTCGTGTCTTGAGGTTGTAGTGCCAGACGTATCGTGTCGCTGCGTCGATGAACGTGATGACATAGTTGTAGTCTGTTTCACTGTTTTCTCGAGGCATATTTAAGATGTCGCTGCTGACTTTTTTCATTGGTGCATATGCAGGTGCGCTTGGATTGTGGTGCTACCGAAAAGGTTGGTGGGGAAGATCAGCCTCGGGACACGTGAAGCATCATGCGCGGGGTCGTCAAAGTTCTTGGCCGCTCGTTGTGAGAAGGGCGTCCTTTTCTTATACTCCGGCTTGTATGGTTTGTAGTACTGTTCTGTTTGCAGGGTGTCCGAGGCGTTGATGCCAGATGTCGTCGTGAGCGCGATGGCCGGGTGAGCGTTGGTACATATCGGCGTTGTAGAAAAACGCGACGACCGTGGCGGGACTGCGGCAGACTCCTCGGGCGATGGGCATGAGTTGATCTGCTTGGGATGGCGGTCCTCGGGTTGGTGGTGGTGGCGCACGGCTGGGACCTGCTGCTGCTACTGCAGGTGATGTTGGGTGAGGAACGATTGCTGGTACTTGTCGTTCTTGTCGGATGACTGCTAATGCTCGTGTTCTCTCTGCTACAGGGATGGTGTTGGAGTACCAGAATCCTTCTGGAGTGAAGTCGGGGTCAAGATCTGGTGGATGCGTCCAGGCAGCAAATGACACGATGCCGTCGCTGTTGGCAGTTCCGTGGTCAGGGACGAAGTCTAGCACGAAGATGCCCGACTTCAGGAGAGCGCGACCGATGAAGCGGCCGCCCTTCTCGTGGTAAAGTCGAAATTCGTTGGCGTCCTAGTCGCATTCCAGGTGAATCCCTTTCGCCATTAACTGGCTGACGCTTAGTAGATTGTATCCCAAGTTGTCGACGATGAGAACTTTGTTCAGTTGTAGTATGACGTTTGTCTGTTTTGACTGAAGTTGAACCACTCCTTGTCTATTTGTTTTCAGGTTCTCATTGTTGGCGACGGTGATGATGACATCGCAGGTGAGGCGTCGTTCCCGTTGCACGAAGCGCCCAGAATAACACATGTGCTGGCCGCAGCAACTGTCCAAGAACCAGGTGTTTCGCCCGGTGGGTTCGGCGTTGGAGACTGCAGCGTACGTCGGGTTGACGTGGAGACCTTGTGAGCGTGGCGGCGGCAGTTCCTCTTCGTCTGGAGCGTAAGTGGGTGGTGACTCGGATCTGCAGCTGTCGATCCGTACCATGCAGTTGATGATGTTTGGTGTATCTCGTGCAGGTGTAGAGGAGCGGCTTGGCGGATTCTCTTGAGTTGAGGCGACTTGAGGATCTGCTGGACGATAAACTCGAGGGCGCGTGCAGTTAACCTTGGAGTGTCCGGGTGTCTGACAATTGTGGCAGAACAGCAGCACGACGGTGAGACCTCTTGTGTCATATCGACTCTGCTTATCTCGTCGGTTGTAGTTGTTGTCGTTTCTTCTTTGAGTGTAGAAGACTAATGGCTGCTGCTTGTTCCGTGGTTGTCTTTGTTCAAATAGGTCCATCTCCTGCTGTTCGGCATGAAGCTCGGCGCAGAGGTGCATCTCGGAGATTCGTCCGTGGGCGCGAAGAAGCGAGCGGGTGGTTCTCCATTCTGGTCCGAGCCCGGCGAGGACAAGTGTCACGAAGCTTTCTTCAGTGATTGTCCCTCCGCACCGAAGCAAGCGGTCGAGGAGTGTCTGACAGCGACCCATATACGTCATCGCTTTTTCCCCGGTCTTCATTTGTATTGTGGTCAACTGCTGCATGAGCTTGCTTTGCGTCACGCTGTCATTTGCTTGATAGAGACACTTCAGATGATGCCAGGCGAGCTCCGCGGAGTTTCCGTAGATCCGATATGTTCTGATGCTCTGTTGCTCTTGTGGTGGCAGGTTTTGCAGGAGAACTGTGTACGCCAGCAACGACTGATAAGTGAAGATTTCCTGCTCCTTTGCAGTGCCATTACTTAGAAATGGCAGGGACCCGTTGAAGTATCCCAAGAGGTGCGCGGCCTCCATAGGCAGCTCGAACTCAAAACTCCAGGTAAAGAAGTCGTGCCCATTGAATGGTGAAGATGTCTGCAGTTTGATCACATGTGAAAACTGCGCCTGGAGACTCGATATCTTGTTTGGTGTCTGTTGTGATGCACCTGCTGTCGGTTGAGCACGGGGCGGCATGAACTCGAACGAACCTGGTGAAGAGTGATAAGGCGCAAAGGTAGGCGCCTGATTGTGGCGCCCGAATGATGAGTTGTCGAGACTCATTGGTGCTAATCCCATATTTCCCCCGTTGCGCTGTGTTGAATGTGCAGGTGTCCTTGTCTGCTGCTGCTGGTCAAAGTGCGACATGAAATCGAAGAACCTTTCCATAAGGTTTGGGTCCACGCCTGAAGAGGGTGAAGGGGTCACCATTTCTGGTACCCTTCCTGTTGTTTCTTGAGCAGCGCCGGTCTCAGTTTGTAGTCCTGAAGTGTGTAGTCCAGAGATGCCGAGTTGAGTGTCTTGGCCGATGGGTGAGCCCATAGAAGACTTCTTGTCTATGACTTGTAATTGATGAAGTTCTGATATTGTGAGAGTACGACCCCGTTACACCAATTTCCCCTTTCCATATTTCCTTTCTATTTCATTCCTCTTTTTATCCTCATTCATTTGGTCTTTATCTCATCTCATTTGGTTTCCTATTCCTCCTTTTCCATTATCCTTTGGTTTATCCTGTTATTATAATTATATCACCGACCAGGCTCGGGATGTACTGGCGCGCTATATCTAGCGTAATCCTGCCGTAATCCCTTAAAGCCAATAGCCTCGCGTGGCTATACGCATGGTGATTCTATATTCTAGAAGGGTCTATTCCCTTTGGATAGGATAAGCCTGGTTACCTGATGTACTCTGGAAGTATAAAAGCACCTTGTACTTGATAGTGCAACATTGAGCAAACCTTTCCTCGGGACATTCGATCCTGTGACACTTGGTAATCAGAGCCAAGGTTTCAGCTCAACGCTTAACCGCTGGGCCCCCAGGAGCACGAGGAGGATGGAGTCGAAACTTCAATTCCTGTAAGTACAATGCACTTTCATTTAAGTTTCGACTCACCTCTCGCAGTTGCACCTGGGGTCCCCTTCGAAGGCGAGACGCCTCGCCAACCGTTCGATGGACTGCATCGACGGTGCCGATTTTTCGCGGGGGCAAACGGCCTCGACCTGGCGAGCGCGTCAGTTCCGGCGGAACACTCCCTGCGAAACTCGGAGAAGTTCGCAGTTCGCGACAACACTTGGAGTTGCGCGGAACTCTGCGGAGGTTCGACCGACGACATCCGTCCGATGGAGATTCGACGCTTCAGATCGACCGAGGCGAAAACGAAATCCTGCTGAGCGAGTTCGAGCTTCAGCGCGAATGGAAACGGGACCTCGCAAGCCCCGAAGTTTTTCGGAGCGTCCGATCGTTCGACAGCCGACATCGACAACCGAGAACTGCTGCAGGAAACGAGTCAATCCGTGCACCGAAAGCTGCTGAACGCGACTCAGGAGGTTCCTCAGATCGCTTGGAGTTTGGACCGTCGGATTGACTTCTACTTCAACGGACGAGATGGAGCGCGACTTCTGCACAAAGGGAGATTGACGCGTAGAACAAGAAATCAGCCGCTTTCGACACCGCTGACATCATCTAGACAACCAGATTCGAATTTCTTCATTCGGTGACGAATTTGGCGCGCAAATCATCTGCGGAGTCAAAAATCTGCCAGAATATTACCTACTTGGTAAAATCTGCAAGCAGAAAAATGACAGGAGAACGTGGATCGTCGGATCGGTGCGGAATCAACGGCACGAATGCAGCAGAGACTACACTATGGGAAATCATCATCATGGAGACAACATTCGTGACCACCGACTGCACAATCGACGCATCTTCTGACTGGTATCGATAACGATCGAATTATTTTGACGAGGTCATCTCCGTTAAAAATGAATCGACATCAACACGACAGGATCTTCACCCAGGAAAAACAATGGAGCTGCGTGAAGACATGTTCTCCATCCACGAGACACTTTTTCATACAAATTGATCGACAAGTTATGGGATTGCAGAGAAGTAGCCGTTTTCTCTTGCAATGCTCCCAAGTTCAAGTTGCTGCGAAGGAGCAGATTTCGCACGCAACGCTGACGCAGTGAACCCGTCTCGTCAAGGCCAGCGAGACACTACTTCGTAACAGGAGCTGAACGATTCATTTTCATCAAGAATCTCAGCCATCCGAGGTGATTGATTGGAGCAGTCTCAACATCGACCTCACGAGGCGACACACCAATCATGCGTCGCGATTCCAGGTGTTAATGACCTGTGTGGAAGAAAATTCCGTGCACGTCACGATGCTTGACAGATTGAGGAGTAATTAACCTCTAATCCGGCAAGTACTCGCTCACTAGCGACCCTACGGCACATGCATTGGAGGCGATTCTACCAGAAGCCGAAGCGTTACAAGCATCAGCGTAACTTCGACGATGCAGGAGAACGTCAAGCAACACGAGGTGTCAACAAATGAGGGAGATGCGGACTACTACAACACGATCACGCGCTCTACCGACCGTACATCGGAGGCACGGATGAGCATACCAGGAATTGCTACCCGTGGATACATCGAGGGGAGAAGAAAATTTCTCTTCACACCCTCAAATGAAACAATCACCGGCAGCAA